ATATTGTCAACAATGACCTTTCGGAGTTTTTCATCTTATCTATATTATAAAGAAATATTAGTTCGACTTGCCCATAATACTTATTAATATATTTTGTTCTTCAATTTAAAAAACTATTGCTAATATAATGTAAGACAAGGTTCAAAAACGGAGGTTCAATAGTTTATGGCAGTCGAGTTTGTCAGTGTCAAGTCAAGTGGCAGAAAGCCTTTACGAAATGACACTGCAAGAAGTTTACTGTGTACATGTACACTGTATTTGTTATCGTAGGTTTTTGTCCTCTGCGCGTCATACGCGGCGTCACTGTTGTGAATTTTGTAGTCTTTGGCTTTTGTGTTCCATTTGACAGTCGACACGTGTGCTGCCATACGATAAACATTATGTGAGTCCATAAGACTCTTAATGACTGAGTTAGAACAGTAATAATAAGTATGAATAAAAAAGTCATGAACTCATTGCAAACGGAACTGTATTTGTATAATACATGCGATGTTTGCCGTTTGAGGGTTTTGATGCCAGTACCGAAACTTCGAACTCTGAGGAAGCAGAGGAAGACTATGAGCTTGGCCATGCAGACACTTATTCCGAATATGCACCTTCGAAACGTAAGTGTATTGATTTTCTACGAAAACTTTTTACCTTTTCTGTAATTCTATCAATTCGATGTATTTCTCGTATAAGGCTGGTTTTAGCCTTATGATTAAAATGCGCATTATCGACCTGTTTCCGAGGTTGTGAACGTAAACTTTAAATCAATGCCGACATCGTTGTGTATGAGCTTTTTCTGGAATCAGTTTCATACATGGTGAAACGATATTGCAGGGCTGCGTTTCCTTTTTTTAACATTCTCGGTTTTCCAGTGCATCCTGTATTCGCCATGTTTGTGGCATTATTTGACCAGCATGTATCAATAAGGATTTTTTAACCTACAGATTGTCTCACATCTGACCTTACATATCATCGTAAACGTATTTCATAGTGTACTTCAGTCTTCAGTGTACTTCAGTCTCATAGTATACTTAAGTCTAAACCCTGCAACCCCAACGAGGTCAAACTCCTTTTGCTCCTATATATGTGTAAGGCGCCATCTGAGTTAATCAAGTTTCTATATTTTTATTTATTATATGTAAGACTTCTTCTAACGCGTGTATATATGAAACACAGGATTGTTGTTCGTATGTCGATCTTGTCGATATTATTTACGATTTACATTTAGCGTGACCGTGCATCTCAGAGGTCATTGCATAATTGAGAGTTCACCGTGTCACCCATATTGTTCACAGACCAATGACTAGTTACCCGTTTGCTCTTGTGGGTTGATTGGAAGTGTAGAAATCGAACTCCTTGCTCAAGAAATTTGCAGTTAACAAGATGATTCGAAACTCGTAGCTCTAAAGAACAAATCCAAATTACCGTGGCGGCGTTACTGTCCTCAGTATTGACGATTACAGTTATAATAACGCAATATATTTAAACATATGTACAATTAATAACATGAGGCATTTATCTATGTCGTTATTATGGTGATGATGATCAAAACCATTGTATCTAATTTGGTTGTACTATCATCACTATGATGACTAGTGTTATTTTGCCTATCATCATAAGCAGTATATTTATTCTCTCTGTTGTTATGGTCATGGTGATAAACATTATCACGACCATTCTCATGTTCGTATTATAATAATTATAATCGTGATAGCCGTTTTCATGATAAAGATCATCATAAAACCTTGGCATTGGCTCTGATCATAATATGGTGTAGGAAAATTATTCTCATTATGATTTCGGTCGTTATGTAAGACATAATCATTATCGTAATCATTTTCATAGAGGGTTATGAATAAGACGCATTATCACGATTACAATGATTATTACAATCTGAAAATTTGACTATGAACATTACCATCTTCACTCTGATAATGGTCATTCCTGCGAGATCATGCTCGCAGTCGCATTTTCGGAATCATGATTGTGATCATTATAACGCCTCCTTGATGTTGATCTTGTTGATCAGAATCAAAAATTATTATTAAGAGCATCTCGTTTAGAGCTCATAATTTTGTTCCTCATGACATTTTGTAAATCATGGATTAGAGTTGTGTGTTATTATATAGTTAAACTTTTTCATCTTGTTTTTAAATTAGCCGAGTGTTTTATGCTTCCGAATAATTGTCACTGAGGTAATTACGGTATTATTTCTTATCGTTATTTTCGTAAGGATTAAGTTTGGGTCAAAGATCACGAACGTTGCGATCGTGACGTGTGACTGATTGTTTTTTATACTGTGATTAGTATCAACGTCATTCTCATATTCGCATAGGTCATCATCACGACCACAATCATCTTTATAATGACCATTTTCAGGATTATTTCAATGAATTGATGCGTTTGAGGTCAACATGGAGGTAGCTGTTATAACGTTCATGTTCATGATGATAGCTGCGACTGTCTCTTTTGTTGAAGCTATCATGTTATAATCATTATAACAGCAACTCTCATGATGATCTTAATTGTGGAAAACATCGTTAGTATTGTAAGAATGATGTTATGGGATGCCATGACCATTATTATGGTCATTTTCACTATGAGGTCATTTATCACCGTAACGACGACAATGCTAATTATCTTCTCACCGTTACGATCAACTTGAAGGTTGCTGTTGTAGCGGTCCATATTCATGGTGATTACGTAGCTAAAAGTACCATGATAAAAGTCGTTATAGCAGCAATCTTCCTGCTGATCTTAATGTGGAAATGATCATTAATATCGTTGTAATAATGATTATACTATGTGTGATGAGGATATGGAAGTGTAACTATGATGTGGTTATAAGAGGAATCTTAAGGTTGATCTCAGTGGCGGAAATCATCATTAGTACTGTATTAGTGAAGATGATCACGGGGGGATGGTGAAAACATCACAGTGATCCTGACGTCTATAATATGATGTAATAAACGATGCGTCACTGATGTTATAATCGTGTCGTCCGCGCCCTTGGTCATTGTTATCATCGTAGCGACTACTATACTAATTATAATTGTCACCGTTAAGATGAACGTGAAGGTGGCTATTAAAGCGACCATGTTCACGACGATTATTACTGTAGCTAAATCCATCATCGTATATTGATGTTGGTCGTCATCATGACCGTGATCGTCGCTAAATAGCCACTGTAATTATGATTTTAACTACAATGGTCATCATCTTTGTCGTCATGAAAATGCTCGTTTTAAATGCAGCCTTTATATTGATCTTAGCGGTGATAATCCTCGTTGGTTGTCTAGTCATTATGATAATCGTTTAATAGTCGTGATATAGGCTTAATCAAACTTGCCAGTCTGTCATATTGGCTAAGGAAGGCCGGTAGATTTAAATGGAAAGTTGTTCTGTGGTACTGTGCGGCTCATTGCTTTGTCTTCTTGTATTCATACTTTTTCGTCCATTGCTTCATATTGTCATTATAGTCATCAGACTTGTCATGACAATTTAATCTTAAAGATGTTCGATAGTGATGATTGCCATATAGTGGTACAGTGTTCAAGTAGTACCCTCCTTTCGCTTTTTTTAAGATTTTTGTACAAGAACTTCATGTTTGGATGTAACATATTTATATATTTTCTTGAGCTATAGTGCGCTCTGGTTTATCCCACCCGGATTCAGTCGTCGAGACCAGTTCGCTGGCCAGCGTGCAGCCGCCGGACATCACCTATCACGCGGTAATACCAGAAGAAGTGATCGACACAGGCCGTTTGTCAGCGCTCCAACTAGAAACGATCATTTATGCATGCCAGCAGCATGAGACGTTTCTCTTGAATGGAGAGCGGACCGGCTACCTGATTGGTAACCAGAATCTTTGTGTGGTCGCAAGCTTACCCTATCTTTACTTTATATTTTTGAGGCGATGGACCAGGCGTCGGTAAGGGTCGTACGATTGCGGGCATAATATATGAAAACTACCTCCTTGGCCGAAAGCGTTCGCTTTGGTTGGTCTATTTGCATATATTCTTAGCCTTAATATGATGTTTCTTGCTTGTTTAGGTTCAGCGTATCGGGAGATTTGAAGTACGACGCTGAGAGAGACTTGGCAGACATTGGTGCATCCAGGATTAAGGTCCATGCACTGAATAAGGTAAATCACGATGCGGTGAATGATTGCCGTGTATTTCTGTTAGTGGGTAGCTTTGCGCATATTTCAGGTTACTCAATGGCCATAGGTAAATAGCAGGAGCTGTGGTGGAGTTAACGGTCTTTCGCCGATTAGCCCTCGACTCTGCAAAGGTTATTCTGCTCTCTGTTCTTACTCATTTTGTTCATGACACGATCGTCAGGCGCAGCCATGAAAGCGAGTCTATCGCAGTGGGAAATGTCAAGACAAAAGCTTTACTGTTATCCGGCAACCTTATGTAGTTCAAAACCTTCAGAATTAATGCCCAGGGTAATTCTGGGTGCCCAGAGTAATTTGAAGCAAGTTGGCCCAGTGAAGTAAGGTCCAGATTCTGGGTTTCTCACGTCTGTGCTTGAGCATATGCTCAGTATCATGATCATTGGCGACATTAACCGACAGTGTAAGTATCCCTCCTTTTTCTCACGCAACGCAGCAAGCGAAATGAAAACTGATTGACTGGCAAACAAAATGTCGGATAACGTTAATGTTTCTGTCACCGACTTGATTCGTGGTAAAATTTCTGCTGCTGTTGTTTGTTATTGGCAGTAGGTCGTTGATCCTGTTATTACTTTCTGATCCCAAAACTGAATAACAATCGCGGTTGAATGCAACCAGTAGTAACGGCGTTTTTCTCCAAATCTTTACGCTGTTATTATTTATGAAATACATATGCTCGTCGTTTTACAATGGTGTGATAGCGGTGTGCCTTCAGTCTCTGTAGCGATCGTGAGCGTCAACATCTCTTATGTTTGGCAACTTATATAATGTGGCGATAAAATCATAATTTTGAGATTTGTAAAATTTGAATGTCAAATGCAGGATGCTCTTGTCTGTTATAAAGAAATTTATAACGAAAAGAAAAAATAAACTGCTCAGTCAAAACTTGATATCTTCCTGAACAAGCTAGTGCCTGTTCCTGAACCATCATCAGGCATGGACGACCACGTGTCTTCTACGAGCTCTAACGCGAATCATCAAGAAAGAAGAAATTGAAGACTGCCGCTATAGCCTCCTCCCCAGCATCATCTTCCAGCAGTTACTGTTCAATTACCGGTGTTTAATTCGATAATGCCATTCGTTTATTTACTTATAAAATGACAGCAATTATTTATTTACTTATTTATTTTTCATATTCGATAAACTCAATTTGCGAATGAGCGTAGCCCAATCTAAGTCCAGGAGCACCTGAAATGCGTTATTTTTTAAAACTATATTGTTTTGATTACTATTTCATTTTTTCTGATTTAGTTCAAGTATTCAAAAATATCCGGTAAGGAAAACGGTTCCGTGAAAAAAGGTGTGATATTCGCCACGTACGCCAGTTTAATTGGAGAAACGCAAAACGCCAAACAAAAGTATCACTCTCGTGTAAAACAGTTGCTTCATTGGTGTGGCAGTAATTTCGACGGTGTGGTAAGTGATTCTTAGAAAATATGCTTAGCCCTTAAGTAATGGTTTGGATACAGTGGTCTTTCCAACAAAATATGCTGCTCTTAACTTTGAAACTTGCCTGGATTTCGTGTTTCTGAAAATAATCGTTAAGCGCTGTCTTGCATGTTGTTGATTCATGTTATCATCTTCTGAATCACGAATCAAGAACAGAATTTAGTTCAAGTAATACGTAAAGAAAAATAGAATGATACGCAGGTTGAGGCAGAAAGTGGCACTAAATTGTTGTACTAAACTCTGTTGTACGACACGTTTCATTTCAATACGTTCTTTAATCATACTGTGACTCTAAGCAGAGGTAGGGCGACACAGATCTCCCGGACTAGTTGTAGTTGTAAATTTTGTTGTTGAACGAAATAAAGTAATAATTGCTGACAGTTTAATTCGAAAAGGCACGGACAGTTTTTTAACGTTAATAGATAAAGGAGATGGTTGGAAGCCTGAAAAAATGTAAATTTATTAAGTGAAGCTTTCGGAAAGCACTAGATGTTCTTTATTTTGATGCAACTTACACCTGGCATGCCATGTTATTCGTACTTGATCGAATTGAGTATTTCAGTTGCATATTATATCCATTACGGCTGTTATACGAATAGATACTGGTAATGCAGAAAACGAAAATAGCTTCTTCTGCGATCAAGAGGTGTTTGAGTGACTTTTTTTGACGGTTATTTAAGATTTTTTTGAATTAGAACCCATTATTGACATTAGTGATTTGTGGTTTTTGACTGGGATTACAGCTCCTATAGTTAACTAATTCAATTTCAAAACAGCGTCATTTTAAGGATTAACGTTTTCACTAAATGACGACGTTTTCGAGGTTCATGTTTGCGAGTTCTGTTTTTGAATTTACGGTATTCTCCTTTTGATTATGTTTAAAAATCAATCATACCTCGATTAGCTCGGAGAAGGTGGTAGGAGTTAGGACGACGATTAAACTGCGTACGGCATGGTTGGTTCTCAAGCATCATTAAATCTTGAGGCAACTGAAATATTCATTCTATTCTTTTCCGGACACAGATGATCTTGAAATCGTTAACCAAACGCATTCGACATATGTAAACGGCTCTAGGTCATGATCTCAACGAGCATTAATGGAATCATGTGTAGGAAAAGTGGTGTAACATTGTCGCAAATATAAATATATAATCATTTTCGTGTAAAGCATTCTCTAAACGTCAGATTTGGATTTGAGGATAAAGAACATGGTCTCCTTTTCTGATTTGTACTCCTCAGTCATTAAAGACAAGGATCTGATTTATATTACTGTTTTTCTGCTTTCAGCAGATCGATGCCCTTATACTTCTGCCAGTAAAACAAAACTTATTTTCCTCTTACTTTCGCCATCATGGTATTGTATCTGCTTTGATGTGTTTGCAGGCGTTAACAGACCAGTCATGATCTTACTAAAAATACTCAATACTAAACATTTGATTTTGGTGCAGTTTATATCGCATCTGTTTAAAAATTTTAAACATTTAATTTTAGGTTGTTTTCGACGAATGTCATCGTGCAAAGAACTTAGTTCCGACCGGTAGCTCGAAATCCACTAAGACCGGTCTAACGGTTTTGGAACTTCAAAAAGCTCTGCCGAAAGCAAGAATCATCTACGCTAGTGCCACGGGCGCGACTGAGCCCCGTCACATGGCTTACATGGCCCGATTAGGGTTGTGGGGCTCAGGCAAACCGTTCCGTGACTTCAATGAGTTCATAACGGCCGTGGAACGCCGCGGAGTCGGCGCTATGGAAATAATCGCGATGGATATGAAGGTAACTGAGTACAGCGTTTGCTAGATAATATTTGTACTGCTTTCGTTTTGATGCTGAAGGATGGTCTTTAAGGTTGTACTTTATTCAAGGCGATTGATTGACCATGGACTTAAATTCAAACTGTGACTTCATCAGTGGATCGTGTTGACATTATCATCTCTGACTCCTCTATTTTTTACTCGTTCTCGTTTCACGCGAGCTCAGCAGTTAATAAAAATTATGGTATCGCCTTACAGTCGTACTCGGTGTCTCTGGCACGTAATTCCTCTGACATAATTTGTCTGAGGTAATCACAAACGGAACACTGAGACTTTGGTTAATACGTCGATTTAAATCATAGTTTTACTAGCGACCGTTGTTTATTTTGACAATTTGTTGTTTCCAGCTTCGCGGTCTCTATCTTGCCAGACAGCTGTCGTTCAATGGCGTTACGTTCAGAGTCGAGGAGGTACCGTTGTCCGTAGATTTCATACGTACATATGACAAGTCTGTGAAACTGGTATGTCGGTTTTCATCTTTATGACCGCCATATCACCCATAACCGTCGCAACTGATTATCTTTCAGTGGCTGGAGGCGAGAAAACAGTTTCAAATCGCTGCTGACCTCATCGATCTGGACAAGTCTCGACGTAAGGCTATGTGGGGCCAGTTCTGGGCGGCGCATCAGCGTTTCTTCAAATACCTGTGCATTGCCGCCAAGGTGAAGACATGCGTTCGACTGTCGAGGGAAGCGGTCAAGAACGGA